TGTATGTGTGTGTGTGTGTTTGGAACCTTTGAATTTACTACATACTCTTACAGGAATATATAGCAGTCCTAACTCCCATAGACTAAACCAAAAGTGAGCTGCAGCAGATACTAGCTTTTAATACTGGGATCCAAAGCTTCGTTTGTATCTGTCATCTACCTGAACCCTACCTGAAAGTGATACACATTCATCCTGCAAATCTATTCCAGTAACATTTTCTGAAACACTTACGGGAGCTTTATGTTGCATTGACACTTCACGAGTATCTTACTTGCTTCAGAAGAAGGAAAAAAAAAAAAAAATCATTTTTCTAACAGATCTCATCAGAAATCCATTATTTCCAATTGTCTCTCCTACTACTGTTGGCCATTATATAATCTCTTTCAAAATTGCCTATATGTTCACAGCTCTGAGACAGCAATAGTTTAGACAGAATCTTAAAATAAACTGACAAGATTTACATAAATACATAGCTTAGTGTAACTGCAAAAACCTACCTATTGGAGGCTGACCTTCACTAATTGATATGGTTCTCTTATAAACTTTCCTGAAAGCAATAGCTTCATAGCTCAGAGGACTTTTATGGCTGCAAATCTCCTCTCACAGAGTCAAGCTTAAATTCATTCTCCTGCCCATACCATTATGGGTTTCCTATTCCACTTTGGTTACATCTTGTGGCAGAAAGCTCTAATGAGCCTTCAGTGCAGTACATCCCTCATAGCTGTTCTCTCCTCCCCGTGGTATTATGTGTTATTGCATATCTATGAACTCCAGGCTTAAACAGTGATGCATGGGATTAGCAGAAGGATTTGGGCTTTACTTTACAGACTAGCTGAGTTAAAGCCTCATACTTGAAAGAGTGCATCTGAGCATGCAGACATCCTACATCTTTCAGAAGGATCGGGATTATTGTGAGTTTTAAGGTCTTTGATGTTATCTGATTGCCTGATGCTACATTCATCAATTATCCTCTTGAATTTAAGCGAAGTTTAGCACCTGCTTCCAAAACACCATGAAAGGCAACTTCTGTGTTGCTCCCATCTCCCATTTAGTTCTACCAAATAATTCTTCCTGCTTTGCAGTGTATGCTATTTGCAGTACAAGATTCTGAAAGAACAAAGACCATACTTGTCCTACATATTTAATGTATGTTAAGCAGATAGTCAGATACGTATGACAGTGAAATTAATGTTATGGCTTCAATTTTTACATTTTGTAATTCTCAAAGATTTTTAAACAGTAACTTAAATGGCATTAATATCTGAGATAAGCAACATGAAGTATATACATATGAAAGGTACTGACTTGTCCTGAAGTAGTGATGACAATAGTTTTCGAAAGGTTAATTGTTTCGAAAATTTGGTTGTGACAGCTCTCTATATTCTTTGCACATATTAGCTCATTGTTAGGTATTTTAAAATTCAAATAGGTCCAGTTAAAAAAACGGCAGAACACATCTGAGTAAATTTCAAACCTATTAAAAATTCATAACCTTAAAATTTACTCACAAACCCATACTCTTTAAGAAGTTTCTGCATGTCTCCCTTTGGCTGACCTCCTACACCAAAATAATGAAGCAATCATCAATTGCTGAGAAACCAAGAAGTAAATCCCCCAGCAGGGTAAATGAATGCCACTAGAGTATGGCTAAATATGCAAAAGCAGGGGCATTCGAAAGAATTAGAAGCCTACAAACTGGTGATGATAGGTAGAAAGTCAATTAAAGACAAATTACAACAGCAAGAACAGAAATACATAGTGTTACTGAATGATAAACACAGAAAGGTTTTTAAAGAAAGAAATTGGATTGCTTTGAAAGCCACATTGTAGAGTACTCTTCTACTGACAGGCAGATCCAACTGCAGCAATATTGCATCAACAGAACCATATGAAGTCTGAAAATACAATATAAGTACACCAGGCTTTCTAATATTCACCAGCTACTCATATTTGCAACATATATAATCTATTACTGCTATATTTGAGGAACTTTCTTCCATCAATTTCTCCTTCCTTCTCAACACAAATGTCTTTTCCCAACAAGCCTGTCTTGAATAAAAAGAATGGCTGCTGGGATTCCTATATGCTTCCTGAGAAGCAGAATTTATATCTAAGGACTAATGATGGTCGGGATGCATGGTGATTATACCTAAAGTGAAAAGCAAATGATAATGTAAGCTGCCATGTGTGGGCAGATATGATATTTTTGTGTCATAAGGAAGAGAATGAGTAATGAGAATGCTTGCCATGCTTCCCTGTGGTCCACTCCTACGGGACAGCCATGCCACTGAGGGAAATTCAGTTTAATTTCACTTGTTTCCCAGCTTTTCACAGACAGAAATAGTTGTGATTTGGAGCAGGATGGAGCCAGCTCTGTGTTGACTGCATGGGGCTGAACACTGTTAGGCTCATCTGTAGCATTCTGAGATAAACAGGGGGGTAAAATGAGCATATTGTCCAGAATAGACAATTAAGAAGGCCCAGCATCCTTCCAGCATCCCTTTAAGTACAAGACTATTTTGACAGTTCATCTGTACAAACTTACCATGTTAATTCAATTACCTAATCTGTTACATATACACAGTGAGTATTTGCAAGAAACAGCCCTAGACTGTAATCACTAATTGAAATAAAGCAAAATTTAATGTCTGTATCATACTGTAAAAGACATATTTCTATGCTAATTGACTAAGTAGGGAAGGGAAGTATCAGAAGCAATACAAAATGCAATAATTTTAGAATATAATTCTATAGATTAGAATAGGTAATATAGCATTCTATATTAAAGAAATTAAAAAAGAAACAAACCCAGATTTTCTTATAAGGCATCTTCCTCCTGTCTATATCCCTCTATACATTATATACACAGACTGGAAAAAGCAAACTTCATTGGTCTTGTTTCTTGAAAGCTACTGGTTCTTAACTGAATGGTTATATAAACTACTCAATAGGAAAAAATGAAAAAAGAATGTCAAAAAGCCCGAGGATGCAGACACCTATCTCAGAGAAAGTATTCTTCTTGGCAAATGAAAGAAAGCACAGAAGATACTAAGAGTCCTGGTTTTGAAGTTATCTCTCTTTTATCTAGTAGTTAAAAAAAAAAAAAGAAAAAAAAGTACTTTAGTAACAGTACAAGGGGGAATGGCTTTAAACTGAAGGAGGGTAGGTTTCAATTAGATACTAGGAACCCCTCACCATGAGGGTGGTGAGACACTGGAACAGGTTTCCCAGACAAGTTGTGGCTGCCCCATCCCTGGCAGTGTTCAAGGCCAGGTTGGACAGGGCTTTGAGTGACCTGACCTAGTGGAAAGTGTCCCTGCCAGTGGCAGGGGGCTGGAGCTAGGTGATCTTTAAGGTCCCTTCCAACCCAAACCATTCTGTGATTCTATGATCTTGCTTAGGATTTGGGACACCAAAGCTCTAATACCTGTGCAAATCTAGAACAATTTCCTACCCTAACCAGAGAAGAAAACTGAGATGGTTTATGTTTGTTTTTTTTTCAATGATTATTTAATTTCTAATATATAAATAGTTCTTGAAGTGAAGATTATTTTCCCCCTAAGTTAACACCTGAATTAAATGCATGAAGCAGCTTCCTCACTTGCCTTCATCTCTATGAATTTCTGCTCTGCAAAGGTGCATAGTTCCACAGACAAGTGTATATTCTCCTGTTTTTGAGGAGACCACAGTTCTCACTAGGGAAAATCTCTGTGCAGAAATTCAGGAGAGGAGTAATTGCTTCCTTCTGGGCTGGGATTTGTCACAACAGAGGCCAGAGTTCTGTATATTGTGTAGGATTTACGCCCAGAATAGTTTGTTAAATGCACTCAGAGAACATCTTCCAAACAAAATGCGTTGGGGATCTCAAATGGTGTAAAGATTTATTTCTTAGTCAAGGTTGGACAAGGACATGACACTGAGCTGTTGTTCTAAATAAAAATCGAGGTGGCAGGTCTGTGCAGGTGTAACAAGCTGAACTTATGTTCCGAGTAAGTTTTACACGCAAAAGCTTAGACGTCTAGGACTTGAGTAAGGTGGTTTATTATATAATGGGTTTGATGTTTGCCATCCTTTTGTACCTTTGAGTGTGATGTGTGCAAATTCATGAAGGGACAAGTGGTAGAAGTGGAAGCAGAGTTCATATCTCATGGATTTTTCATTAATGATCTAGGCAGTTACCACTAGCTTTCTAACATACTGTTTAAATAAGCACATGAACATTAATTAAAATAGCTGTAAATATTAGAGGAAAAATTTAAAGCCATATGTAGAAAGGATTATATGAAATTCTCCAGGGATATTGGGCATATATGTCCTACAATTAAAATCATATTCTGTTTTGAAAGACTTCATGATCTACAAATGCAGCTCCCGTCTACTTTCTTTTGTTTTCCACTTTCCTGTATTTAAATCTTTTATAAAAAGAATAGAATCCTAATCTACACCATTGCCTCTGTTTAGCCTTTTATTTCCATCAGTAAATGACCAACAGCAATGTGAATATACAAAAAATAAAACCTAGTGGTTTTTTTATGTATTCAGAAACAATACTTTCTATCATTTTTCACAATCTCATATAGATAAGTGTAGCACCAAGTTATCAGTATTTGCTAAAAGATCAATAGAAATCCCAAAACCGTAAGTAGAAACATAGCCAGAACATCACCCCAGTTCCCACTCTTCTATTTTCTTGCAGATTATCTTGCTTAGTACAGCAAGATAATGTTTCAGCATTCAGTGGGTGAAAACACTCTAAATAAACTGTCAAGCTTAATGGAACTATTCTGCAAAAAGCATCTTCCGTAAAGAATATGTTTCAGAAGCATAAAAGAAAGAATAATATCTCTCCTATATATATATATATGTTTTTCTGAAATGGTTACATTTACAGTATTTATGGGTAAACTGTTGAAATTACCTAAAATAGTCATCTTATTTAAGGAAGAAAGCAAAATCAACGCAGTTTTTTCTGATTTGAAAAGGCTCAGAAGGTGGTTTACCTGCAATTGTCAACATTATTTCTTCCCACAGCACTAGAGAAGTTGAAAGGTCCCATATCATTAATTTCTATAACTTGTATACAGCCAGTGAAATTGTAGAGAGGTCCAGGTATCTACAAAGGAGAAAAAACACACAATTCTTTTGCCTGCTGTCATTGTGATCAGTGTAAAAAATAATTAATTTTTTTGCAAAAGTTTTGCAACATAATTTAAGTCCTGAAGACCCCTCCGACCTCCATTTTTAATTTAATGAAACCCTGTTAAAAAAAAAAAAAAAAGTGAAAAGAAGTTACAGCAAGATAAGCAGTACTGACTTACTTAAACTCATGGAGTTTTGGACATGCAGACAGCCCAACAGGTATAGTGAGACACCAGCCAAAAGCGGATTTAATTAGGTATTTATTTTTTATAGATGATCACAGGTCATGGAGAATGGTAAACAAGGAAGCTTTGAAAAGTCTACTTTTAAGTTTTCTGCTTTCCTGCTCAAAGGACGTCTAGTACCATTAATTGTGTTTCAAAAATGCCTAAAGAGCTACTAAAAAAGGCAATCATCATAGGGGCACTGAAAAAAAAACAGAGAATGCATTCTTATGCATATGTCACCATCTAAACAAATCACACTGATACAATATGTTGGTAGACATTATAATTATAACGTATAAACAAACCACTCAAAATAGTACAAGTACTGAGTCTTTATGGACTAGACTGCTGGATAAGTTCCTGGTCACACCAGATCATGTGTCCTTGTCTTTGGGGCCACATAAGACTCAATACTTTATATAATAAATTTCATGCCAAAATAATACGAAAATACTGCCAGAACTGTCCATGAAGATGAAAATCATTGAAACAGTTGAATGAGGTCTTGGGAGATTACTCAGGAAGAAAAGACAGCATCAGTGGAAGAAGGTATGACCTTAGGCACCTAAAAGGATGCTGGTCATAAGCCCATAGGAAGAGAAGCAAGTCTTGGCTTGGTCCTTAACACTGCAGTGTCAAGTTTAGATGCAAGCAGAAAAATAAAAGGTCTTGAGGAATAACTTGCTAAAAGCATAATGTCAAGCATTAAATACTTTTTAAAACATAATAGAAGCAGTAAGCCTGCCAGAAAGGCTGTAGGGCTAATAGACCATCAAAGACTAAAAGAGTGTTCAAAGAGATAAGGCTCTAGCAGGAAATGTAAATAAACTCATCAAATTAAAATTTAACATAGAGGAGCTTTGGGAGTTTCCCATGCCAGAACCTCTTTTTAGTAGGGATACATCAGAGATCCGTCTCAATTGAATTATTATTGTAAAAAAGTTTTAAAATTAATTACCAAAGTTAACAGTATCTATAAAGAGAAAGACCAAACAATATTTGCACAGAAGTCCTATGGGAAATTACTGTGGTCATCACTTAAAATGGCATGCAAACATCAGGAATAGTAGATGTGGATTTTTTGTTTTGTTTTGTTTCATTTTTTGTTTGTTTGTTGGGGTTTTTTTTTTTGGTTGCCTTTTTTTTTTTTTTTTTATGATTTGGGAAAAGGGGAGAAGACTAGGGAATGCAAAGGCACACCTCAAACTAGCATCAGTAAGTCCCAGTTCCATTCTAGACAAACCATTAAGAGCTGCTATAAAAAAAAAACAGAATTAACAGATACATAAATGAACATAACATAATGGGGAATAGCTGAGATCGTTTCTGAAAAGGAAAATTGTAACTCACAGGAGGAACACTGAATACGTAAAAAGGATGCCTTGGCACATAGCCTTTGATTTCCAAAAGGCTTTTAACAAGTTTCTATGCTAAAAGATTCTAAAGTAACTTGGTCACCCTGGGATAACAACTAAAGCCTTTGACATATTAAGAGAATGGGTAAAACAGAAGCATAAACATTGGTAATAAACAGTGAGCTTTCTCAGTATGGAGAGTCCCCAGAAATTCCCTCAGCAATCTGTATTAGCGTCCATGCTCTTCAGAATATTGACAAGTGGCTCTGTTTCCCATGTTACTCAGGATAGCAAAAAAAAAACCCAAAATTTTTGAGACGATGATTCCACAACATGCAAAAACTATAAGGTATGTGAGGATGGCGATACATATGAGAATTTCTGGACAGTGACTATACAGACTAGGAATCTTTACTCAGGGAAACCCATCATCAAGGAGAGTTAGAACAGAGTGGTGTGCAGATGAATAAAGTGTTTTCACAGTTTCTCACTATACAGGGTCAAAAGGACATGAAATTATATAAATACGTGTGAAGATCAAAGCAAGATAAAGGGTGTACTTTTCATACTCCTCAAAATTAAGCTGAGGAACTCCTCCATAGGATGTTGTGGACAGTACGAGTCTAAATGGGGTAAAAATTTGTTCGAATTAGTGGAAGACATTTTTCCAGAATAGTTTTCCTTATCTCTTTTCTCATCATTAAGCATCACAAAAAGAACGGTAGCCTCTAGCCTGTATATTCACCTTCTTCCTTACCAGCCAGTAAAGCACATTTCACATTGTGATGGCTCCGTGCTCTGCCCAGAGCCTTGAAGTAAAACCACCTTCCATTTTCTTTAAAGGCAAAAGAGATTCTGAGAGGCTGAAATGTTTTAAAACTATGTTTACTATAATACAAAATCCTAAATTAGAACATGGCAACCATTTAATAGATTTCTGATGTGCTGGGTGATAGATATATTTCCCACTTCCCTTGTCCACCTTTGCAGGGAGGACACTTTCCTTTTTAAAAAGCTCAGTGACTTCAGTGTAAAAAGCATTTGGCATTCTAGGTGCATACAGCTGCTTCTGGGTCACAAGGAAAATTTCCTTTTTTGCCATCACTTCTACAAGGTGGCTGAGAATCACTTCCAAGCTTTAAGAAAGAGCCCTGCTCCTCTCAGGACTGCCCCAGCCTCTTTTCTCCCAAAGGCTTTCTGCCTGAGGCAGCCAAAAGCTACTTCCAGCTCTCTTGGAAAAGGAGAAATCTCTCCCTCCCAGCAGAGAGATACGCTGCGCAAACACAACACAGCTGAAGCAAGGCACATTGCACTGTTCAGACACTCTGTAAGATAACACCTTGACATGCTATACAATAAATAAAATGAACGGGCCTTCCAGCCCATGGGAAGGATCAAAGAGTTCACTAACAGCTCGTTGTTTATTCCTTTAGCAGCAAAAGCTTAAGGGCAGTTAAGACTTGGAAACGCATTACTATGTTACTACAATGCAATACGTTACTGCAGTGCAACAATGTGGAAAGTTATGTAACTGTTTAATGTGGCATTTAAAGTCAGAAAAGTTCAAGTGCTGGAATGGGGAAGATCATATCTCTGTGTAGTAAACATGTTTTAGAGGATTGCACTCAGGCTTCCTGGAGCTTAGAAAGAAATAAAACCCTCGCTCAAAGACTGGATATGAATATGCCCCTTTTCAAAGATACACTTCAGATGTTGAGAGAACAATGCTACTTGATATACCATGAGAGCTGACTACTGATATTGATTACAGACAATAGAAGATAATCTCTCTTCCTTTTTTGACAGCCATTTTGGCAAAGAAATAAGTGTGATTGACTGCCAGGTCTTATACTCAGCAGTCGGCTTTTGCTGCCATTATCAAGACAAATGACACCAGAAAATCTTTTAAAATGTGTGTCCTACTAGGTTTCACATTACCTTTTTATAACAGAAACTTGTTATTCTTTTCTTTCTTTTTTTTTTTTTTCCTGCCTTTTGTGAATAGTAAATAAAATAATTTTCAAATTAACAGAATTCAGAATCTATTGCAAATTTAATATGAATACAGACAGAAAGTTAAAGATACTGAGTTGGAAATGACATGGGACCCACAATATTGCTTAAAAAATTGAAAAATTAAACATGTTTTAATATTGTTATAGCTCTGCTGCTTCTTCTCTCCCTCACCAACAATGAAGTTTTGCTAAATCCTAATTATGATTGTTCCAGTCACACCATGGGTGTTTTCCAAGAAAAGCCAAGCTCTGATACTTGGGATTGTAAAAACAAACAAACAAACAAATAAATAGAAAACAAAAGGAACTAATAAATGCAGAGGCCAGATACAACACAGTTTTAATATTTACCAGAGCTACTGTGCCTAGCTAAGTTCTTTCAAGAATCTGAATGTCAGGTGGTATACGAAAAATTCACTATGGCAACCTATGATCCATTTTGCACACTGAACAGCAAATTAATTGCTTGGTTTGGGAATAAAAAAAATTACCTCTGTATTTCCCCGAGCACTATTATCAGTGAATATTTTAACAACATGGTTTCCTTCCCCCAAACTAAACGTACTGATTGGGTTCCTAATAATTTCTCTTACACTGATATGTAACATTTTGAATGCAATGCATTCCTCTAAAGTAATATTAAACCACTTTGTTTTATAATTAGTGCCACCCATAAAAAACTCTGGTCAAACAATTACTTGCCTTTGAACTGCTATGCTGTCTATAAAAAACACCCAGTGTCTTCTTATATTTAGGAATAAGGACTATTTATTAAAAATCAAAAATAAACAGCTTTTATTTTACTGTTTTTGAGAATAGATACTCATTTGTGATTAACAGAGTATCAAAATGTAGACTTTACATGTAGCTGGATTTCCTTCCATTTCCAAAAATACATCAATATGCTGACAATCTGTAATACTTAAATTGCCTGAAAATGTCAGGGTCATAGCAACACCAGAAATTTAATTTAACACAATTCACTACTCAGAAACTATGCAGATATGTTTGACATATAGTTACCACGCTCTTTAAATGCCCTTTATGCCTGACAAAAATGAGTACAGATACTTACCTGGTAGGAAAAGTTCACACATATATGCCAAACCATTTATTAACATCTCTTACTCACTAGACCAAATTGAAGCTCCTGTTAGGTAGAATTAACCTAGAACTGAGTTTCCTGTGAAATGAGCTTGCTTGCTGTTATTTATCTCCAGATTCATAAATAATATAATGAGTTTTTGGCTTATGATCAGAGCATTTATAAGAAAAATCACAATTAATTCAAAAGAAAACAAAGCAGAGCACAATCCTTCCTCATTTGTCTCCAGCCAAGACAAATTTTATATATCTGAAAAATTCTTACTACAGATA